GGGAGCCCGGCACCTTCTGGAACCTTCCCAGGACCTCTCCGTGACCCAAACCCGCCGGAACCGTCCCCAAACCCCGAGTTTTCCCCCCAAAATCTGGGATTTCCCCAAAATCCGGTTTTTCCCCCCAAATCCCGCCCGCGGCACTTACGCTTGTTCCGGTAGAAGTTCCCGGAGATGTTGATGCCCTCGCAGCGAACCACGACCACGCGGCGGCCTGCGGACAGCGGCACCGGCCCGGGCCCCGTTAATCCCGGCTTTTTCACCATTTCCCCCCCTTTTCCCCGGTTTTGCCCCTTTATTTTAATTTTTTCTCTTTTCTCCCGATTTGTCCTTTTATTCCTGTTTTTTTTCCCCATCATTCCGGTTTTTCCTCGTAAATGCCGGTTTTCCCCGTTAATCCCCGTTTTTCACCTTTTCCCGATTTTTCCGCCCATTATTCCCGGTTTTTTTTCCGGTTACCCCCTCGTTATTCCCGGTTTTCCCCGCGCTCAGCTGGTAGTGCATGTAGGCGCCTTTCATTGTCGCTAAACTCGACAGCCGACAGGGCTCATCACGGCGCGGGGTCCCGGTGCCATTCCCGGTGTTATTCCCGGTTCCGTTCCCGGTAACCGCCCCGGTGCCGCCGCCCCGCACTCACCCAGCAGCACCTGCTTGGCCACGATCGCCGCCAGCCGGCCCAGGAGGTGCCCGCGCCCGTCGATCACCAGAACCTGCGGCGGGGGGAGCGCCGGGTGAGGCCGGGCCCGCACCGGGACCGCACCGGGCCCAGGCCGCGCCGCGTGGCCGCGCCCCGCGCCCCCCCCGCAGCCCGCCCGCGGCCCCCCGCGCTCCCCGCCGTTCCTCGCGCGCTCCCCGAGCCCCGCCGAGCCCTCCCGGTTCCTCGCGGTTCCTCCCGGTTCCCCCCGGAGAGCCCTCCCGGTGTCCCCGGGCCGCACCCGCGGCTCCGCCATGGCCGCCGCCCGCCTCAGAAAGAGGCCACGCCCCCCTGCGGGAGCGCCACTTCCGCCGCGGGAGGGCGGAAGTGGCGTCACGGGGAGGGGGGGAAGGAACCAATGAGGGAGGAAGGGGGGGACTGGGTGGGAAAATCCAATCAGAGGGCGAGGGGGGGGGTGTCTCCGTGTACCCTGAGGTTTCCAGTGCTCCCAGTATGATCCCAGTATGATCCCAGTATGATCTCACTGCTCCCAGTGTGATCCCAGTGCCCTTCCAGTGTCCCTCCAGTCCTCCCAGTGTGGTCCCAGTGCTCCCAGTACGATCCCAGTGCCCCTCCAGTGCTCCCAGTGCCCCCCAGTATGATCCCAATGTGCTCCCAGTGCTCCCAGTACCAACCAATGCCACTCCCACAACCTCCCAGTGCCCCCCAGTACCCCCCAGTCCCTCACTCCCAGCTCTCCAGCGGCCGCCTTCTGTATTTATATTTATACTTATATTTATTTATATTTATATATGTACAGCGGGGGGGGGGCGGCTCTGGGGGGTCTCGGGGGTCCCTTTTGGGGTCCCCAGGGGATCTCGGGGGTCCCTGGGACTTCCTGGGGTCCCTTTTGGGGGTCCCTGGGTCTTCCCGAAGGTCTCGGGGGGTCCCTTTTGGGGGTTTGGGGGGGTCCCCGGTGGTCGGGGGGATCTGTGGAGGGTCTCGGGGGTCCCTTTGGGGTTCTTGGGGATCTGGGGGGTCCCCGGTGGTCTCAGGGGGGTCCCTGGTGGATCCGGGGGGGTCTCTGGAATCCCTGGGGTCCCTTTTCGGGGTTCTTGGGGGTCTCGGGGGGGTTCCCCGGGGATTCCCTTTTCGGGGGGCGTGGCCGTTCTCAGACACCGCCCCCGGTGGCCGGGGTGGTCCCGGTGGCCCCGTAGCTCGCGGGGGGCCCCCCCGGGGGTCCCCCTCCCCCCACCCCCCCTTCCTCCCCTTCCTCCTCCTCCTCCTCCTCGTCGCTGGCCACGCCCCCCCGGCGCCAGAGGCTCCGCCTCCTCGCGCGGCGGCTCCGCCCACGCTGCGGCTCCCCGAAGCGAAGACGCCGTAGAAGGCCACGCCCCCGTAGTGCACGAGCGCGGCGATCAGGAACACCCCACTGCCACTCCTCGCGCGTCTGGGCCAATCAGCGCCCGGCCGCTCGCCGCCCGCCGGCCAATCCGCGACGAGCGGGGGAGGGGACCCAATGGGAAGGAGGGAGATAGCGGGAAAGGAAGGGGGCGTGGCCAAGGAGAGGGCGGGGAAAGAAGAGTGGCGGGCCCAAAGGGAGGGGGCGGGGCCAGGGGGGGCGGTGAGTGACAGGAGGGGCGGTGAGTGACAGGCGGGCAGCGCGACCCCCAAATTCCCGTGTCCGTCTGTCGCCCCCAAGTCCCTCTGTCCTTTCAGTGTCCCCAATGTCCCCTGGGTGCCCCCAGTGTCCCCAGTGTCCCCACGATCAGGGGACACACCGTCCCGGACAGGGTCCCCTCAGTGTCCCCAATGTCCCCTCACCTTGTGGCGGGTGAGGGCCCCCACGATCAGGGGACACACCATCCCGGACAGGGTCCCCACGCCGTTGCTCAGCCCCATCAGGACGCTGGCGTAGCGCGGCGCGATGTCCAGGTGGTTCACGTTGAAGCCTGGTGGGGACAGCGGGGTCAGGGCGGGGTCAGGGCGTGTCCCAGGTGTCCCCAGGTGTCCCCACTGTCCCCGTGCCCACCCGAGATGGCGAAGCCGCTGAAGCCCACGGCCAGCACCAGGAAGGAGATGGCGACGGCGCGGGAGTGCGAGTAGCCGACCACCAGCAGCAGCGTGGCCTCCATGCCGAACCCTGTGAGGGGACAGGGGACAGTGTCACAGTGTCACCTTGTCAGTGTCACACAGTGTCACACATTGTCACCTACCGCCACAGTTCATCATCTTGCGCACGTTGGTGGTGGGCATTGTCACCGTCCCACTGTCCCCACTATCCCCTTTTCCCTGTCACGCTGTCCCCAGTGTCACACATTGTCACACACTGTCATAAGCTGTCACGCAATGTCACACAGTGTCCCCAATGTCACCTACCGCCGCAGTTCATCATCTTGCGCACGTTGGTTGTGGACATGAGGCCGCGCGAGCGCAGGAAATCGGCGATCTGCCCCCCGATGGGCACCACTATGGTCATCACCAGGTGGGGGAGAGCTGACAGCAATCCACCTGAGAGACAAAAAATTATATGAATAAAATAAAATTAAATTAAAAAAAAAATTCTGTAGATAAAACAAAATAAAATAAAATAAAATAATGGAATAAATCAATTATCCCCAATGGGCACCACGATGGTCATCACCAGGTGGGGCAGGGCTGAGAGTAACCCAACCTAGGCAAAATAAGAAATTAAATTACATTAAATTAAATTAAATTAAATTAAATTAAAATCTAAAAAAAATCTGTAAATAAAGTAATGAAATAAGCCCATTATCTGTAAATAAAACAACAGAATAAATCAATTATCCCCGATGGGCACCACGATGGTCATCACCAGGTGGGGCAGGGCCGACAGCAATCCCACCTGTGGGTCACAGTGGTTTTTGGGATATTTTTGGGCTGGTTTTAGGTGTTTTTTGGTTTTTTTTTGAGCCCACTTTGCTGATCTCGAAGCTGAACACCTCCTCGAAGTAGGCGGGCTGGCTGATGAGCAGCAGGGGGAAGGTCCAGCGGGTTTTGGGGTGTTTTGGGTGTTTTGGGGTATTTTCTGTGGGATTTTTTTGGTATGTGTTTTTTTTGGGCGATTTTTGGTTTTTTGGGGTTTTTTTGAGCCCACCTTGCTGATCTCGAAGCCGAACACCTCCTCGAAGTAGGCGGGCTGGCTGATGAGCAGCAGGTAGAAGGTCCAGCTGCGGCAGAAGTTGGCCACGATGATGGCGTAGACGGGCATGGAGGTGAAGAACTGGCGCCAGGGCGTGGCCAGCTGTGGGCAGGGGGGAAGGCTGACCCCAGGACAAACCCAGGACACCCCCAGGACACCCCCAGGACACCACTGACCACCCCTGACCATCCCCAGAGTGACCCTGGCCACCCCTGACCATCTCCAATGACCCTCAGGCCACCCCTGGTCACCTCCAGAGTGACCCCAGCCACCCCCAGGCCACCCTCAGGCCACCACTGACCACCCCTGACCATCCTGACCACCCCATGTCACCTCCAGAGTGACTCCCTGACCATCCCTGACTATCCCCAGGACACCGCTGACCCGCAGGACACCCTCAGGCCACCCCTGACCACCCCTGGCCATCCCTGACCAACCCCAGAGTGACTCCTGACCACCCCCAGGCCACCCTTGGTCACCTCCAGGATACCCCCAGGCCACCCCTGACCACCTCTGACCATCCCTGACCACCCCTGACCATCCCCAGGACACCCCCAGTGCCCATCCCAGGGCTCCCAGTAACCTCCCAGTCCCTCCCAGTTCATCCCAGTCTAACCAGCAGCGGGTTGCTGCCCACGCTCTCCCCGATGCCCATCCCAGTGACCATTCCCAGTCCATCCCAGTCCCTCCCAGTGACCCCAGTGCCCATTCCCAGTCCATCCCAGTCTAACCAGCAGCGGGTTGCTGCCCACGCTCTCCCCGGTGCCCATCCCAGTGACCATTCCCAGTCCATCCCAGTCCCTCCCAGTGACCCCAGTGCCCATTCCCAGTCCATCCCAGTCTAACCAGCAGCGGGTTGCTGCCCACGCTCTCCCCGGTGCCCATCCCAGTGACCATTCCAGTCCATCCCAGTCCCTCCAGTGACCCCAGTGCCCATTCCCAGTCCATCCCAGTCTAACCAGCAGCGGGTTGCTGCCCACGCTCTCCCCGATGCTCTCCTCGATGTATTTCCGCTCCTCGGGCGAGATCGTCGGGTGCTGGGCTGGGCTCTCGTAGGACACCAGCACCCAGAACATGTACCAGAGCACCCCGAAACTGCCTGGGGGAAAACTATTTATACTGGGGATACTGGGAATGGGCAATGGGATCACCCAGAACATGTACCAGAGCACCCCGAAACTGTCTGGGGATACTGGGGTTACTGGGGATACTGGGAGCACCGGGACAGGTCAATGGGATCACTGGGAGAGGGACCAGAGCACCCCGAAACTGCCTGGGGATACTGGGGTTACTGGGGATACTGGGAGCACCGGGACAGGTCAATGGGGGCAATGGGATTGGTACCACAGCACCCCGAAACTGCCTGGGGATACTGGGGTTACTGGGGATACTGGGGATACTGGGAAGGGTCATTGGGGTAACTGGGGTGGGTACCAGAGCACCCCGAAACTGCCTGCGGGACACTGGGGTTACTGGGAGCACTGGGAGGGGTCCCCCAAGGGGGCTCAGGGGGTCCCGGGGGTCTCAGGGGGTCCCAGGGTGGGCAGGGGTCCCAGGGTCTCAGGGGGTATCCCGGGGGTCCCGGGGGTGCTCAGGGGGTCCCGGGGGTCTCAGGGGGTCCCAGGGTGGGCAGGGGTCCCCAGGGTCTCAGGGGGTATCCCGGGGGTCCCGGGGGTGCTCAGGGGGTCCCCGGGGGCTCAGGGGGTCCCGGGGGTGCTCAGGGGGTCCCGGGGGTGCTCAGGGGGTCCCGGGGGTCTCACCGTAGACATAGAACACGGAGCTCCACCCCGTGTACTGCACCAAGACCCGGCCAGGGGCATGGCCACCACCCGCCCCTGCGTACGAACCTGGGGGGGCAGGGGGCGTCAGTGGGGACCCCCAAACCCCCTGAGACCCCCGGGACCCCCCCATATCCCTGGGACCCCCCTGGGACTCCCCCAGACCCCCAAATCCCCATAGGACCCCAGCCAGGGGCATTATGGCCACCAGGGCCCCTGCGTACGAACCTGGGGAAGGGGGCGTCAGTGGGGATCCCCCGGGATCCCCCCATATCCCCCTGTCACCCCCAGACCCCCCAGACCCCCCGAAGCCCCCAGACCCACATTACCGCAAAGAAGGCCGTGGTGGCCCGGTGGCTCCCAAAGCCCCCAGATCCCCCCAAAGCCCCCCGAAGCCCCCAGACCCACATTACCGCAGAAGGCCGTGGTGGCGAGCCGGCTCCGCTCCAGGGGCGGCGCCCACTTGCTCCAGATGCCGTGACAGGCGGGGTAGGTCACGCCCTGCCGGGAAAGGGGCGGGGTCAGGGCGGGACACGCCCACCGGGACACGCCCTGATGGGCAGGGACACACCCAACCCCGACCACGCCCACCAGGACACACGTTGATTGTCAGGGACACACCCAGCCCCGACCACGCCCACACTGCCACACCCTGATGGAGAGGGACACACCCAACCCCGGCCACGCCCCAACCTCAGCAGCTGAACGGCAAAACCCACCCGGAAACCGCCCCAAATACCCCAAAACCAGCCCAAAATCCCCCGAATTCACCCCAAATTACCTCCACCAGGCCCTGCATGACGCGCACGGCGATGACGCAGCCCACGTGCGTGCGCGCGGCCGACGGGATCAGCATGTTGAGCACCGAGGTGGACACGATGGCCAGCCCGAACACCCTGCGGGGACACCTGGGTGACACCCGGGACACACCTGCACCGGCCCCGCCCCCGGCCCCCGCCCCGCTCACCTGTTGGCGGCGAATTTCTGCGCGATGAAGCCGCCGGGGATCTGCGTGACGATGTAGCCCCAGAAGAAGGAGCCGTGGATCATTCCCACGGTCTCGGGGTCCCAGTTGAACTGGGCGCGCTGTGGGGAGGGGAGGGGCCGCTGGGGCGGGGCCTGGACACGCCCTGGACACGCCCTGGACACGCCCTGAACACGCCTCGGACACGCCCTGGACAGGTGTGTGTCCCCCACACCTGGCTGTGTCTCCACAGTGACCCCACACCTGTCCCCACAGGTGACACCGTACTGACCCCACACCTGTACCCCCCCAGTGACCCCACAGGTGACCCCGAGCTGACCCCACGGGTGACCCCAAATTGACCCCACAGCTGGCCCAGAGCTGACCCCGCTGACCTCACACCTGACCCCACAGGTGCCCCCGTAGCTGTCCGTGAGCGGGGTTGACCCCAGGTGCCCCCATACCTGACCCCATACCTACCTGTGGGTGGGGCTGCCCCGTCACCTGCCTCCTCACCTGCCCGTGGGCGGGGTTGACCCCACACCTGTTCCCTCACCTGTCCGTGGGCGGGGTTGACCCCACACCTGTTCCCTCACCTGCCCGTGGGCGGGGTTGACCATGCTGACCCCACACCTGCCCCCTCACCTGCCCGTGGGCGGGGTTGACCATGCTGACCACGGCCACGCCCAGGTTGCAGCGGATGCCGAAGCTGATGCAGAAGCCGATGCCGCAGAGGATGGCGATGCCGTAGCGCCGGGGCAGCCCGCAGAAGGTGCAGTCCAGCACCGGGGGGCGCGGGCCCGTGGGGGTCCCGCCCGTGAGCCCCCCCGAGCTCAGCTCCAGGCTCTCGGGGTCATCCTGGCGGCGCTCCAGGAACCTGCGGGACACCGGGGCTGTGGGACACCGAGGGGACACCGGGGCTGTGGGACACCGGGGGGACACCGGGACTGTGGGACACCGAGGGGACACCGAGGGGCACCGGGGACACCGAGGGGACACCGGGGCTGTGGGACACCGAGGGGACACCGAGGGGCACCGGGGACACCGGGGCTGTGGGACACCGAGGGGACACCGGGGGACACCGGGGGCATTGGGGGTCCCGCCCGTGAGCCCCCCCGAGCCCAGCCCCAGGCTCTCGGGGTCGTCCTGCCGCCGCTCCAGGAGCCTGCGCAGTCATTGCCCTTTTGCCCCTTTCCCCCCCGTGTCCCCGTGTCCCTGTGTCCCTTTCCCCCCGCGTCCCTTTTCCCCCAATCCCTCTGTGCCCTTTTTCCCGGTCCCCCCGTGTCCCCAGTGTCCACCGCCCCGTGTCCCTGTGTCCCTTTTCCCCTGCTATGTCCCTGTGTCCCCCCCCCGTGTCCCCCACGTTCCCCTCCCTGTGTCTCTATGTCTCCTTTTCCTCTGCCACTTCCTCTTGTCCCCCCGGTGTCCCTTTTCCCTTCTGTGTCACCCCCTGTCCCCCCGGGTCCCCGCATTCCCCCTGTCCCCTCCTATCCCCCATGTCCCTTTCCCCCCACCATGTCGCCCCGGATCCCTTTTACTCCTCGTGTCCCCTTGTCCATGTGTCCCCCCCTCGTGTCCCCTTGTCCCCCCCGTGTCCCTTTTCCCCCTGGTGTCCCCGTGTCCTCTCCGTGTCCCCCTTCCCTTCCGTGTCCCCCCCGTGCCCTCTCCGTGTCCCCAGCCCCTTCCTGTCCCCTGTCCCCCCCCGCGTCCCCCCCTGTCCCCGTGTCCCCCCCCCCCGCAGCCGATTAAATCTCTCTCTAATCCCCGCGGTGGCGGCGACAGCCGGGAGGGGACACGGGGGGGGGGACACGGGGGGGACACGGGGACAGGGACGGGGATGGGGGGGACACGGGGGGGACAGGGGAGGGGCCGGGCCGGGGACACGCGTGGCACGGACACGAGCGGGGGAGGTGACACAGGGGGGGGGGCACCCGAGACGCCCCCAAACCCCCGGCAAATGTGACCCTCCCCAAACCCCCCAAACCCCGATCCCCCAAGACCCCCGGAAAGCCCGACCCCAAATCCCCCCGGATTCCCCCGGGAAACCCAAGACCCCCAAACCTGATCCCCCCAAAGCCCCAGGGTAACCCGAGACCCCCCCAAAAAACCCCAGAAAACCCAAGATCCCCCAAAACCCCGGCAAACCCGACCCCAAATCCTCCACGGCAAAGTGACCCCCCAAACCCGAGACCCCCCAAAACTCCCGGCAAACCCGAGACCCCCAAACCCCCAAAACCCGACCCCAAAACCCCCCGGAAAACCTGACCCCCCTCAAATCTTTCCAGAAAACCCGACCCCCCCAAAGCTCAACAGACCCTCCCCAAACCAGGGGGTCTCACCGGTGCAGCCCCCCCGGACCCCTCCCCAAACCCGGGGGTCCCCACCCGGGGGTCTCACCAGTGCAGCCCCCCCAGGACCCCTCCCCAGTCCCCACCCCTCCCCGGACACCCCGGGGGTCTCACCGGTGCAGCCCCCCCAGGACCCCTCCCCATCCCCACTCCGGGGGTCTCACCGGTGCAGCCGGCCCAGCCCGGCCCCCAGCTGCCTCCTGAACTCCTCCCTGTTGAACTCCATCGCCGCCTCAGGGCTCCACCATCACCGCGGGACCCCCGGGACCCCCCCCAGATCCCCCGCGCCCGGCGCCGCTCCCGGGGCGGCTCCCGGGCAGCTCTGGGCGCCCCCCCGGCCCCCCCGGCCCGGATCAGCCCTAAATCCCCAAATCCCCCCCGGCCCCCCCCCCCAAATCCCCCTGCGCCGGGGGGGGCACCGGGGGGGCACGGCCCAATCAGAACGGGACAACGGTTTGGCTTTTATTTTATTTTATTTGGGGGGTTTGTACCAAAAAAGGGGAAGGGGAGGGGGCTGAGGGGTCGGGAGGGGGTCCTGGACAATCCTGGGGGGTCCCTGAGTGGCTGGGGGGGCTCAGGAGCATCCTGAAAACGGCCCCAAAGAGGTCTGGGGTACTGGGGGGTCCGGGGGGGGTCCCAGGTGGGATTTTGGGGGGGTCCGGGTGGGTTTTCGGGGGGTCCCGGGTGGGTTTTTCGGGGGGTCCCGGGTGGGTTTCTTGGGGGGTCCCGGGTGGGTTTTTCGGGGGGTCCCGGGTGGGTTTCTTGGGGGGTCCCGGGTGGGTTTTTCGGGGGGTCCCGGGTGGGTTTCTTGGGGAGTCCCGGGTGGGTTTTTCGGGGGGTCCCGGGTGGGTTTTTTGGGGGTCTCCTGGGGGTTTTTCGGGGGTCCCTCATGCCCGCAGCAGCGGCATCGTCACCGTGAGAACCTGCGGGGGGTGTGGCCACAGGTCAGCGGGAGGCGTGCCCCCGGTGGGAAGGGGGCGTGCCCCAGGTGGGAGGGGGCGTGTCCCTCCCCCGCCGTTGCCATGGTTACCTTGGAGCGGCGGTGGAAACGCGCGCGGCCCCGCGCGGGGTCGGCACGCATGCGCAGCGGCAGCCCCAGCTCCAGCAGCGCCCCCTGGCGGCCCGGAGGGGCCCCGGGAGCGCCCCCCGGCGGCGGCGCCGGGCGCAGCAGCAGCAGCCGCTCCTCGCTCAGCCCCAGCCACAGAGAGCCCGCCCCCTCCTGGGCGGGGCCAACGTCAGGGCACGCCCACTGCGGCCCCGACCCCCCCAAGGAGGGTGGAGACCCCTCCCAGCACAGCCCCCAGTGCCCCCCAGTCCCTCCCAGTGCCCCCCAGTCCCCTCCCAGTACCCCCACAATACCCGGTTCCTCCCAGTTGACCCTAGATCTGTCCCAGTCCCCCACAATATCCTCAGCATCCCCAATATCCCCAGTTCCCCCCCAGTATCCCCAGTTCCCCCCCCAGTCCCCCCAGTATCCCCATTATCCCCAATTCCCCCCCAGTCCCCCCAGTCCCCCCACCAGCCCCCGTTCCCGCTCCCCACCTGTCCCAGGTGCACCCTCGCCTGCAGCTCCCGCGGCTCCTGAGCCGAGGGCGAGGCCACGACCACGAACGGGGGGGGCCCGGGGGTCTCCGCGGCTTTTGGGGAGGGGTCCCAGGGGTTCCCGTCACCCCAGCAGCTCCTGGATGTGGGGCTGGGGTCAGGCTGGGGGGCCCTGGGTGTGTTTGGGGAGGAGTCCCAAGGGTCCCAGGATGATGAGGTTTAATTTGGGGAGGGGTCCCGGGGGTGTCAGGGGTATTTTGGGAAGGGGTCCCGCTCACCCCGGCAGCTCCTGGATGCGGGGCTGGGGCTGGGGCCAGGCTGTGGGGTATTTGGGGAGGGGTCCCAAGGGTCCCAGGGTATTTTGGTTAATTTGGGGAGGGGTCCTGCTCACCCCGGCAGCTCCTGGATGCGGGGCTGGGGTCGCGCCCGGATGTTCTGGGCCGCGATGGAGCCGAGGCAGCGCCGGTTCCGCAGCACGCGCCAGCCTGGCAATTGGGGAGGGGTCCGCGGTTATTGTGGGGAGGGGTCCGGGGTTATTGTGGGGAGAGGTCTGGGGTTATTGTGGGGAGGGGTCCCGGGTTATTGTGGGGAGGGGTCCCAGGGTTATTGTGGGGAGGGGTCCGGGGTTATTGTGGGGAGGGGTCCCGGGTTATTGTGGGGAGGGGTCCCGGGGTTATTGTGGGGAGGGGTCCCGGGTTATTGTGGGGAGGGGTCCCGGGGGTCCCGGGCAGCGCCGGTTCCGCAGCACGTGCCAGCCTGGGGCAATTTAGGGAGGGGTCCTGGGGGGTCAGGGTCAATTTGGGGAGGGGTCTGCCCCCCGGAGCCCCCAGACTCACCGGTGAGCTCCAGCTCCACCCCGTACTTGTCCGAGAGCCCCTCCAGGGCCACGGTCAGGAAGAACTCCAGGTACAGGGGGTCGGCCTGGAGACCCCAGACCCAATTCACACCACGAGCCTTCCCCAGGGAGACCCCAGACCCAATTCACATCCTGACCCTCCACAGGGAGACCCCAGACCCAATTCACACCCTGAGCCCTCACCAAAGAGACCCCAGACCCAATTCACACCATGAGCCCTCACCAAAGAGACCCCAGACCCAATTCACACCATGAGCCCTCACCAAAGAGACCCCAGACCCAATTACCCACCTTGACCCACCTGGAGAACCCCATGACCACCACCCAGACCCCACCAGAAGCCCCCAGACCCCAATTTCTCCCCCCAGCCCCCCCTGCAGGATCCTGAAGAACCCCGAGTTCACCCCCAGACCCCATTTAACCCCCCAGGAGCCCCCAGACCCTCTTTAACACCCCCAGACCCCATTTAATGTCCCCAGCCCCACCTTGAGTGTGCTGAAGAACCTCGAGTTCACCCCCAGAAGCCCCCAGACCCCATTTAACCCCCCCAGACCCCATTTAACCCCCCCAGACCCCATTTAAGTCCCCCAGAAGCCCCCAGCCCCACCTTGAGCGTCCTGAAAAACCCCAAGTTCACCCCCAGGAGCCCCAAGACCCCATTTAACCCCCCCAGACCCCATTTGACGCCCCCAGCCCCACCTTGAGCGTCCTGAAGAACCCCGAGTTCACCACGACGTCGTAGGCCGTGCAGCCCCTTCCCCCTGCGGGGTCACAGCAGGGTTGGGGGCGTATTGTGGGGAGGGGTCTCTGGGGCGGGGGGGTATTTTGGGGAGGGGTCCCTGACCTCGGTCCAGCTCGGCGTGCGGCTCCCCCAGGCTCATGGGGATGCGGAAGGAGCCGCCGGGGCCGGGGGGGTCCCGCAGGAGCTGCTGCAGCCCCGGGGGGGGCACGGGCGGCGGGGGCGGCACCTCGGGCGAGTGGCAAACGTTGAGGAACACCTTGGGACCCCCGCCCGCCTCGCGCGTCTTCACACAGAAACCTGGGGGGGAAAATACAATAGAGACCCCCAAAACCCCCCCAAAATGCACCTTGGGACCCCCGCCCGCCTCGCGGGCCTTGACACACAGACCTGAGGGGAGGGGAATCCAAGAGAGCCCCCCCAAAACCCACGCGAGCCCCTAAAATCCACCCGAGCCCCCGTACCCGGCTGCGGGGTCACGGCCCGGGCGGGGCCGGCGCTCGGCGCCTCCTCAGGGTCCGGGGCCACCTGCGGGAACCGGGAGGGTCAGAACCGGCACCGGCACCGGGAGCGGAACCGGCCCCGGCCCCGGGCCCCACCTGCAGCAGCAGCCGCCGCAGCGCCGCCGCCTCCTCCTCCTCGTCCGCCTCCAGCTCGGCCGAGAGCAGCGACGGGTCCGCCATGGCCTGAGGGAAGCGAGAGCTCCGGGACCCCCCGGGAACCGCCCGAGACCCCCCAGGAGCCCCGAAACCGCTCCGGACCCCCCCGGGCCGCCCTCACCGCGCCTGCACCTCCCGCCACTTCCGCTTCCGGCGCGGACCCGTCCCCATGGTTACCGAGGCAGCTCTGGCAACGTCGGCCCAGTCTCGGTGGTTCCGGTGCTGCTCTGGCCACTTCCGGTGAATCTCGGTGGTTCCGGTGCCGCTCTGGCCACTTCCGGTGAATCTCAGTGGTTCCGGTGCCGCTCTAGCCATTTCCGGTAAATCTCAATGGTTCCGGTGCCGCTCTGGCCACTTCCGGTAAATCTCGGTGGTTCCGGTGCCGCTCTGGCCACTTCCGGTGAAATTTGGTGGTTCCGGTGCCGCTCTGGCCAGTTCCGGCGAATCTCGGTGATTCCGGGGCCGCTCTGGCCTGTCCCGCCCGTCTCGGTGGTTTCCCGGGCCGCTCTGGCCCGCCCCGCCCGTCTCGGTGGTTGCTCGGCGGTGATGGCGGCTCTGGCGGCCCTCGGGGCTCCCCCGGTCCCCGAAATCTTCGCCACCATGGAGGAGGGGCCGATCCCCGGCGGGCCCAACCCGGGCGAGGTGAGGGCGGCCCTGGGGGTTCCCCTGGGGGTCCTGGGGGGGGCTGTGAGGGGGCTCCGGGGGGGTTCTGGGGGTCCTGGGGGGGCTCGGGGGGTCCTGGGGGTTCCCTCAGAGTCCGGGGCGGTCTCGGGGGCCTCTTGGGAGCCTCCTCAAGACTCGGGAGGGGTCTGGGGGGGTCCCGAGGGAAATAATGGGGCTGGGGGAGGCACCGGGGGGGGAATTGGGGTGGGTTTGGGGGGTCCCGTGAGGATGGGGGAGTTCTGGTGGGGTCCTGGGGGGGTCTCAGGGGTCTTGGGGGTGCTGGGGGGGTCCCGGTCCCGGGGGGAGCCCGGGGTGCCGTGGGTGCGTCGGGGTCAAAGTCCCCCCGTGGGCCCAAGGTCGTCTGGGGGTGTGTGGAGGGCCGGGCCGGGGCTGGGGGGTCCCGGGGGATCTCGGGGGGTCCCAGAGGGGTCTCGGGCTGTCCTGGGGGGGGGTCCTGGGGAGGGGTCCCATTGTGTCCCCCCTGTCCCCCAGGCATGGCTGGAGTCCCACGGGCGCAGCCTCGGACACTTCGTGAACGGGACCTGGATGAGACCCGAGGGGAGGGAGAGCCTCGAGTGCCGCGAGGCCACCACGGGTACGGGGACAGGGACTAGGGACACACAAGGGACGCTGAGGGGACACACAGGGGACACTGAGGGACAGGGACCAGGATTGGGGACACACAGGGGACATTGAGGGACAGGGACAGGGATAGGGGACACTGAGGGACAGGGACAGGGATTGGGGTCAAGGGTCAAGGTCCCAGGTTTGGGGTCACTGGGGCAGACCAGGGTCAGGGATTGGGGCAGGGTCATGGGGGTGGGCTCAGGGTTGGGGTTTGGGGTCAGCAGTCAGTGGTCAATGTCCAGTGGTCAGTGTCCATCCCCTGTTGTGTCCCCAGGCCGGACATTGACTGCAGTGCCCTCTGGGGACAGTTCGGGGTTGGTTGAGGTCAGTGGTCAGTGTCCTGTGGTCAGTGTCCATCCTGTGTCCCCAGGCCGGACGGTGGCCGCGGTGCCCTCTGGGGACAGCTCGGGGTCAGTGGTCAGTGGTCAGGGTTGGTGTTTGGGGTCAGTGGTCAGTGTCCAGCGGTCAGTGTCCATCCTGTGTCCCCAGGCCGCGTGGTGGCCGCGGTGCCCTCTGGGGACCGCTCGGACGTGGCCGTGGCCGTGGCAGCGGCAGCAGCAGCGGCCGAGGCCTGGGCGGGGCTGGGGGGGCCCCGGCGGGCGCAGCACCTGGCCAGGTGAGTGACCCCTGACCCCGGGTGACCCCTGTGTGACCCCTGTGTGACCCCTGTGTGACCCGTGACCCCCGTGTCCCCCCAGGCTGGCTGCCACGCTCGAGGGTGACCCCGGGGCGGCCCTGGGGGCGCTGCTGGCCCTGGCCGGGGGGCGCCCCCTGTGCCGGACGCTCGGGGCCGAGCTGGAGCCGGGGCTGCGGCCGCTGCGGGCGCTGGAGCCCCCCGAGGGGCGGTGGCGCCCCCTGGGTGAGTGCCACTGTCCCCAAAGGGTCCCCAAGGTGTCCCCAAGGTGTCCCAAGGTGTCCCCTGGGTGAGTGCCACTGTCACCAAAGGGCCCCAGAGTGTCCCCAAGGTGTCCCCTGGGCCCTTGGATGAGTGCCGTTGTCCCAAAGTGTCACTAAAGGGTCCCCAAGGTGTCCCTTGAGCCCTCGGGTGAGTGCCATTGTCCCACATTGTTCCCTCATCCTCTCTGGCTGTGCCTTGTCCCTGCGGTGTCCCCCCAGGGGTGGTGGCCCTGGTCCTGGCCGGTCCCTGCTCGCTGTCCCCATGGTGTCACTGTCCCCTGGGTGTCCCCTGGGTGTCCCCATGGTGGCCCTGTCCCCTCAGGGGTGGTGGCCCTGGTCCTGGCCGGTCCCTGCTCGCTGCCGGAGCTGCTCTGGAAATTGGGGCCACTCCTGGCCATGGGTGAGTGCAGGGGGGACACTGGGGATAAACAGGGACAGGTGGGGACACTGGGGACAAACAGGGACAAATGGGGACCCTGGGGACAAATGGGGACGGCTGTTCTGGGCTGTCCTTGGGAGGGTGGCCCTTTTGGGATCCCACGGTTTCTGGGGTGTCCCCGCGGGGAGTCCCGGCAGTTTTGGGGTGTCCCAGTGTCCCTTTTTGGGGTCCTAACCCTGGGGGGCCCAGCCCTGGGGGGGTCCCAGCCCTAGGGGGGTGCCCCTTTTGGGGTGTCCCAGCCCCTTTTGAGGTCCCAGGGTTTTGGGGAGGTTATGGGGGGTGTCCCAGCCCCAGGGGGGGTCCCAGGGGTGTCCCAGCCCCTTTTGGGGGTTTTGGGGTGCCCCTGTTGGGGTGTCCCAGTCCCTTTTGGGGTCCCAGGGTTCTGGGGTGTCTATGGGGGGGTCCCAGGGGTGTCCCAGCCCCTTTTGGGGGTTTCGGGGTGTCCCTGGGGGTGTCCCAGCCCCTTTTGGGGTCCCCCCACCCGCCCTGGTGCCCCTAGGGAACACGGCGGTGCTCGTGGCCCCCCCGGCGGCGGCGCCGCCGCTGCTGCTGCTGGCGGAGCTGGGCGGGGAGGGGGCGGCGCTGCCCCCGGGGGTCCTCAACGTCCTGGCGGGACCCCCGGCCCTGCCCCGGGCCCTGCGCGACCACCCCGGGATCGCAGCGGTCACCTGGTTGGGAACCGAGCAGGTACGGGGGCCACGCCCAGGGGCCACGCCCAGGGGGAGGGGACAACAACGGGACCACCCCCCCAAAGTGAGGTCCCTGTACCCACACTCTGTCCCTGTCCCCGTGTCTTTGTCCCCCTCCCCAGGCCGATCTCCGGTGCCGCCTCTGGGGGTCCCCATGTCCCTGTCCCTGTCCCTGTCCCCACACCGTGTTCCCGTGTCTTTGTCCCCCTCCCCAGGCCGATCTCCGGTGCCGCCTCTGGGGGTCCCCATGTCCCTGTCCCTGTCCCTGTCCCCACACCGTGTTCCCGTGTCTTTGTCCCCCTCCCCAGGCCGATCTCCGGTGCCGCCTCTGGGGGTCCCCGCTGCGGGGGCCGCGCCTGGAGGGGGGTCCCCGGGGGGGCCGGCTCGTTGTCATCGTGCTGGACTCGGCCGACCTGGACAGCGCCAGTGCCGCCGCTGTGGCCACGGTGGGGCTGGGGGCTCGGGGGGGTTTTGGGGGGAATTTTGGGTTTTTTTCAGGGTTCTTGGGTAGGGGGGGCTTTTTGGGGAGGTTTTGGAGGATTTTGGGGATTTTTTGGGGTTTTTTGGGGGGGGGGATTGCGGGGGTTTGCTGGTTTCTGAAGGTTTTTTCGGTGAGCCTTTCGGGGAGGTTTCAGGGTTGGTTTTTTGGGTTTTTTTGTGGGTTTGGGACAGTTTTTCAGGAGAAGGTTGGGTTTGTTTCAGGGTTTTTGTGGGGGATTTTTGGGAGGTTTTTGTGGGGGGATTTTTGGGAGGCGTTTGGGTTTGTTTCGGGGCCGCTGTGTGCGTTTCCCTGGCCTGTCCCTGATGACGTTCCTGTTGTCCTGTCTGTCTCTGCTGATGTCTCTGCTGTCCCTGATGATGTCCCTGCTGTCCCCTTGTGTCCCCAGCTGCCCGCCTCGGGGGGCTGTGTGCTGCTGGCCCAGGACTCGGTGGTCCCGGCGCTGGAGCGGCGGCTCCGGGCCCGGCTCGGGGGGCTGCGCCTGGGGGACCCCACGGACCCCCGGACCGAGGTGGGGCCGCTGCCCCCCGGGACGGCCCCGCCCGAGGAGCTGCTGCGGGAGGCGCGGGAGGAGGGCGCGCAGGTGACCCGGGGGACACGGGGGGACACGGGGGGACACGGGGTGAGGAGGGGGACGCCGGGTGTGGGGTTTGGGGGGGGGGGCTTGAGGGTTCCTGGACATTGGGGTGGGCAGGGGAGGGGAGTTTGGGGTGTTTTCTGGGGGAAATTTGGAGGTTTTTGGGGTGGGGGGGGGTTTGGGGATTCCTGGACATTGTGGGGTCCCTTCGGGGCTGCCCCAGGTGTCACTCTGAGTGTCCCCCCCCCACCTCATTGGGACCCCCACCCCCCCTATTTTTGCTCCCAGGTGTTCCAGGCTCCTCTGCCGACGCTGCCGGGGGGGGGGGCGGCGTTTCTACCCCCCCACGCTGATCTCGGGGGTGGCCCCGACCTCGCGCTGCCTGCGGGAGCCGGTGGGTGCCCGGGGGGGTCGGGGGGTGCGCCTGAGGGTGTCGGGGGTGCCTTGGGGACCCTCTGAGCGCCCCTGGGCACCCCCGGGAGGTGTTGGGGGTGCCCCTGGGGGGGCTTGGGAGTACCCCTGACTGCTCCTGGGTGCCCCTGGGGGATGTTGGGGGTGTCCCTGGGTGCCCCTGAGGGGTCGGGGGTGCCCTTGGGGACCCTCTGAGCACCCCCTGTCCCCCCCAGGTCCCGGGGCCGGTGCTGGTGCTGCTGCCCGTGCGCAGCCCCTCCGAGGCCGTGGCCGTGGCCTCGGCGCTGCCCCACGCCACCGCCGCCGCCCTCTGGGCCCAGGACATCACCGTGGCCTTGGACACGGCGGACAGGTGACCGCCACGCCCTGACCCCGAGGGCGGGAGTGACCGGCGCCCCCTGAGCCCCAGGCCAGGCCAGGAGTGACCGCTGAGCGCTGACCCCTCCGCAGGCTGCCCCAGGGCCTGGTGTCCCTCAACTCCCTGGAGCTGCCCCAGCCCTTCGGGGGCTGCGACCTGCATGAGGTGGGGGGAGCCAAGGGGGTCTCTGGGGGGGGTCCGGGGGGGTCTGGGGGGTCTTGGAGAAGCTGGAGGGACGTGGAGGTGTCCTGGGGGGGTGGGGTGGGTTTTGGGGGTCCCCAGGGTGGGGGTTGGGGGTCCTGTGCCGTTGCAGATGGGCTCTGCCCGCCCCACGCTCCCTCCAGGTGCTGCGAGAGTTCGGGTGCCCCCCCTGGGAACAGCCCCCCAAGGCGGAGGAGCCGCTCAGGTACCCCCTGATGGGACAGGGACCCCTCCCCAGGACGGAGACCCCAAACTTGGGGGGTCCCAGGACAAGAACTCCAAGTCTGGGACCCCAGTTTAGCACCCCAGGATCCCCTTCTTCCCCCCACCCGGGGTGGTCCCAGCCCCTATCCTGCCCCCCCAGAGGGTCCCGTGTGCCCCTCAGGACCCCCCTGATTGTTCCTCTCGTGGGGGTCCCCGTGCCCCCGATGCCCTTCCCATGGCCATGCCCTTTGACCCCTGTGTCCTTTGTCCCCCCCACAGCCCCCCGGTGACCCTGGATGACCCCGGCGATCCCGAGCTGGCCCAGGCCGTGGCCGCCGCCCGCGGGGCCGCCCCGGGGTGAGTGCAGGGGTGGGTGGGGTGACCCCCGGGGGTGTCCGCATCCCCTCCAGGGGTGTCCCCAACCCCGCCGGAGTGTCCCCAACCCCCCCAGGGGTGTCCCCGACCCCCCCAGAGGTGTCCCCAACCCCTCCGGGGGTGTCCCCAAACCCCCCCGGGATGTCCCCGACCCCCTCAGGGGTGTCCCCGACCTCGGGACCCCTCGGGGAGGGGGGCTTGGTGCCCGACACCCTCGTTCCCCTCAGGTGGGGGCGGCTGCCGGGGCCGGCGCGGGCCCGGGTGCTGCGGGGGGCGGCGGCGGCGCTGCCGGGGGGTCCCGGGACCCCCGAGGACGGCGACGGCGGCGACAGCGGCGGGAGCCTGCGGGGGGCGCTGCTGCGCTGGGCGGAGCGAGCGGAGCGCGCGGGCGGGGCCGTGCAGGTGGGCGTGGCCAAAGGGGGTGGAGAAAGGGGCGCGTCTGTTCGGTGAGTGGGCGTGGCCTCTGACCGGGCGTGGCCAATCCCGCTGCAGGAGCTGCCCGGGGGGCGGGCCCTGCTGACGAGGCGGCCTCTCGGAGTGCTGGGCGTGGCCTGGGGCTGGCCCCGCCTCCTGGCGCTGGAGCTCCTCCTCCCGGCGCTGGCGCTCGGGAACGCGGTCGTGGTGGTGGCGCCCCCTGGCGGCGCCGGTGCCGCACAGCGGCTGCGGAAGGTGCGGAACCGAGACCCCCCCGTGATGCCCCCCTGACCCCCGGGTGACCCCCATGTGCCCCCTGCGACCTCCGGGAGCTCCCCTGTGTCCCCCCCGGACCTCCCCTGTGCCTCCTGTGCCCATCGCGTTCCCTCCCGAACCCCTCCGGGACCCCCCGTCCCCTTCCATCGCCCGGACCCCCCCCCCGGTGACGCCGCCCCTTCCCCTGTGTCCCCAGGCTCTGGTGGCCGCGGGGCTGCCGGGGGGGGCCCTGTCGGTGCTTCCCGGCGCTTCCCGGAGCTGCGGATCTCGCCTGGCGCGGCAGCGCCCGGACGGGCTGTGGCTGTGCGGGGGGGACGCGGTGAGTGCGGGGGCGGTGCGGGACATTTGGGGGGGGCAATGTGGGGACACGGGGGAGGGGACAGCGGAGGGCACGCGGGGGAAGGGGGATGGGCACTGGGCTGTGACGTTTTGGGGGTTCCGAGCCGTGGGACGGCTGCTGTGGGGGGCTTTGGGGTGGGGGGGCACCCCCGGCTGTCCCCGGCTGTCGCCTCTCATGTCCCGTCACCCCCCAGGACTGTGCCTGGGCCTCTGCCGCGAGCGTCCCCCGCGTTTGGGGGGTCCCGGCGGGGCTCCTGGGGGTCCCGGGGCAGGACCCCCCCCCCAGCACGGAGCGGGAGCTGGAGCTGCGCTGCACCCGCCCCCGCTGCCTTTGGCTGCCGGGGGGCGCCCCCTGAGACCCCCCCCCACCCCCCCCAAATCTGCGGGGAGTTCGGACCTCGCGCTGTGCCCGTCCAGCCCCGCCCCTCGGGACCCCCTCCCCAATAAAGCGCTCCGAGCCGCAGCCGCTGTCGTGTCTGTGTTTGGGGGGGACCGCGGGGGTCTCGGGCTGCAGTGGGGTGGGAAATTTTGGGGAGGACAATTTGGGGGGGGGGGGGGGAATTTTGGGGGGGATGTTTTTGGGGGTGCCCCGCCCCTGCACGTGCCCGGACGCCCCGGCCCCCCTCCCTCGCTCGGGGCAGCCGCACCCAAAGCTCAGCGGGGCCGGGCGGGGGTCCCGAGCGCCGGAGCCCCCGCGGGGTTGGGGCGGGGGTCCCGGGGTGAGGAGGGGGCCCTTGGGGCCCCGCGGGGTGGGTGCGAGGGGGCGGCTCGGCGTGTCCCGCTGCCCTCTCGGGTTTCCTGGGCCCCCTCCCGGCCCGCTCCCGCTTTCGCTTTCGGCGGCGGCTCCGCGGCGGCCCGAGGGGGTCCCGGGGGGTCCCGAGGGGGTCCTGGGGGGTCCCGGGGGGGCTCCGGGAGCGCTCGCGCGTCCCCGTGCGCCGTCCACAGCTCGGCACCGCCATGGACGTGTCCCCCCCTTGCTCTGCTCTGGTAAGTGGGGAACCCTCGACCCCCCCCCCCCGGGTAATGTGCCCCTCCGGGACCCCCTGAGAGCCCCCCGGTGCCGCCCCCGCAGGTGCCGCCAATCCTGCTGCTCCTGGCCCTGCCCGCCCTCGGCAGCTGCTGCTCCTTCGGCTTTAACCCCATCAGCAGCACCTTCAGCGCCCACCTGAACAACCTGGTGAGACCCCCACGGGACCCCCACAAACTCCCTCATTCCCAGGGAAGGGTCCCGAAAACCCCCTGACTGCGCCCCTTCACCCCCAAAGGGTCGCTGGGGACCCCCTGAGCGCCCCCTCAGCCCTCCGGGCTGTTTTTGGGGACCCCCTCACCCCTCCCACAGAGCCCCTGGCTGCTCCTCGACTACCCCGTGGCGATGCCCAGCAACCTGGAGCCGGTGAGTGAGACCCCCAATCCCACGTGTGCCCCCCACCCCCAAATCCCCCCTCCCTGTTCCTGCCCCCCCCGGGACCCCTGACCCCCCAAATCCCTCCCTGTTCCTGGCCCCCCCCCCGAGACCCCTGACCCCCCAAATCCCTCCCTGTTCCTGCCCCCCCCCCCCCGAGACCCCTGACCCCCCAAATCCCTCCCTGTTCCTGCCCCCCCCCCCCCCCGAGACCCCTGACCCCCCAAATCCCTCCCTGTTCCTGCTCCCCCCCGAGACCCCTGACCCCCAACATCCCAACCTGCCCTGGCCCCCCAGGACAGCGCCTGCTCTGATCTCTGGGGGCTTCACTTTGGGGCGCTGGCTCTGCGGCGGATGCTGGGGGTGGCGGGCAGGGACTTGGCCCCCCTGCTCAGGACCCTCCTCGCCCAGCTGCACTTCGTGGCTGAGTGTCACATCCAGGTGGGTGGGGGTCCCCGGGGGGGGGGTCACAGGGGGCTGGGGGTCCTGGAGGGGGGGAACTGGGGGGCTCTGGGTGGTCCAGGGGAGACCAAGGTGAGTCTGGGGTCTGAGGGGCTCTGGGGTTCCCACAGGGGTCTGGGGGTTCCCTGATGTGTCCAGGGCTACTCTGGGGGTCTTGGGGGGCTCTTAGGAGTTCCCTGATGTGTCCAGGGCTACTCTGGGGGTCTTGGGGGCTCTGGGGGTTCCCTGATGTGTCCAGGGCTACTCTGGAGGTCTCGGAGGGGGTGCAGGAGCTCTGGGGCATTTCTGGCATTTCCAAGGGGGTTCAGAAGGGGTCTGGGGTCCCCCGGGCGAGCTCCTGTGCCATCTCCCCAGGACCCCCAGGGCTGTGTCCGGCTGGAGAGGGTGAACGTGTCGCAGCTGCTGGAGACCCTGGCGCAGCACCTGGGGGGGCTGCAAGGGAGACCCCCCCACTTCCCCGGCTGCGCCCGCTTGCGCTGCCGCCCAGGTACCCCCCGGGACCCCCGGGAGACCCCCATACCCCCCCCCAGGGCGGCTGCTGACCCCTGTCTCCCCCCAGGCCCGGCGCTGAGCAGACCTGCTGAGCGGCACGAGGGGACCCTGGGGGCCAAGCAGGGCCCCCCCAGCCCCGCCGGACACGGGCTGCTGCTGCTGGGGGGACTTGGGGGGGCCCTGGGCCTGCTGGCGGTGCTCTGGGCACTGTGCAGGAGACCCTGTGCCCAGGTGGGGACACCGGGGGGCACTGGGGGCACTGCAGAGGGCGGCGAGGGCACGGGGGGCGCTGTGTGTGTTGGGGACACGGCGGGTGCTGGCTGTCCTGGGGACACTGGGAGCACTGGGGAGCACTGGGAGCTCATTCCCCTCAGCGCCCCCCAGCCCTCACAGGGACCCCCGAGACTGGAGCAGGATGGGACCTGAGTGGCCGAGTGGTACCTGGGGACAGACACGGTACTGGGAGGGCTCCTGCATACTGGGATCACTGGGAATGCCCTGAGGACCGTCAGGCCCTCACCCTGTGCCACTGGTGAGAGTCGGGGACCCCCCAGCTCCCTGCTGGAGGCCCCTGGGGGCCACACCGGGATCTGCAGAGCCGCGGAGGGACCCAGGGAGGGGCCCGGCCTGGCCCCGCGCAGTGCTCATAAAGCTGATGCAGACACCCCGCTCTGGCCCTGCGTGAGTGCACTGGGAGGACTGGGACAGGGTTTGGGAGAGCCAGTACAGACTGGGATGGACACGCGCTGCCCAAACGGCCTTTACTGGGAGTCTCACAGGGGCGGGGGGCTCCGGTGGCGCAGCTGGGGCTGGGGCCACTGGCGGGGCAAGAGGTGGAGCAGGGCCAGCAGCGCCAGCAGCACCAGAGCCCACGGTGACAGCAGCAGCGTCCACGGTGACAGCGGCACCTGGGGCGCCACCGCCTTGGCCACCTCCTCGGGGCTGCCCTCCAGGCCTCCTCCTGCTGTCCCTGCGTCCTCCTCGTCCTCCTCCTCCTGCTTGTCCCCTGTGTCCTGGGCAGAGCCTTGGGGTCACTCAGTGCTGGGGTGGCCCTGCAGGGTCCCCCTGAGCCCACCCTTACCGGGCTCGCCGTGGCCTGGAGCTCCAGTTGGCTGCGTGGGGACCACGGGCGCCTGTGGGGGGAAGAAGAGGGTGAGGACGCCGAGGTGAAGGTTCCCGAGGACGTCCCCTGCCCACGTGTCCCCCCCTACATGGCCCAGGCGTCCCGCATCTGGCCCAGCTGCTGCCGCAGCCGCGTCGTCTCCAGGCGCAATTCCTGCGGGGGAGAAGGGGGTGTCACCTTGGGTCCTTGGCCCTGGGGCTCTGCTGTGCCCACCCAGGGGCTCTGCTGTGCCCACCCAGGGGCTCTGTGGCCGCTGTCTGGGCCCACACCGAGGGCAGCTGTCCTGTACCTGCACCATCCGCTCGTACTCCTCCAGTGCTGCTGTCAGCTCCTGCGCCCTCTGCCCTGCCTGTGGGACAGGGCCTGGAAGTGAGGGGCCGGGGGACAGGGCCGGGGGTGGCCCTGGTGACAGCTTAGGCGGCGGCAGTGTCACTGAGCAGCGCTCACCTGGGCAAGGGCAGTGTCCCGGGCAGAGAGCAGGGCAGTGCCACGGCAGAGCTGGGCCTGGGCAGAGGGATGGGGACAGGGACTCAGCACTGTCACTGTCCAACGCAGCCCCCAGCTCCATGGCCACTGTGCTCACCTCCAGGCTGGCCACCCGAGCCGCCTGCGCCTGCAGCTGCTCCCGCAGTCCCTGGCCCTCGGCGAGGAGCCGCTGGTTCTGCCAAGGGTGAAATAGGGCTGGGGTTCCCTGTGGCACTGCCCCGCTGGGGCAGCCCCCAGTGCCAGGCTGACCTCCTCCTGCAGGCCCTCGGCCCGTGAGCACAGGCTGCGCTGCTCCTTCTCCTGGGGAGGGAGGGAGGGAGGGCAGGGCCGTGAGGGGACACCGGCCGTGAGGGGACACCGTGTGACAGCGTGGCACCACGGGGCACCTCCGCTCAGCCTCTCACCACGTGCCGTGCCTGCCGCCGCAGCTCGGTGTTCTCCTCCTCCAGCCGCTTCACCACGGCCCTCATGTCGTCCAGCTCCTCCACGGCCACCCTGGCCTGCTCCAGCGCCTGCCGGCTGCTGCCAGGGGCAAACGGCGCTTCAGCCTTGCCAGGACGCAGTCCCAGCCCCCGGCCCCTCGGGAGCCCCTCGGGAGCACCTTCGCAGCTGCGCCTGGAGCTGCGCAATCTCCTCGGCCAGGCGCGCGTTGAGCTCCTCGGCCAGCTCGGCGTCCCGCTGCAGTTTGGTGTTCTGGGCCGCCAGCTGCCGGGCACGGCTCCGCAGCCCCGCGGCCTCGGCGCTGCTGGGGAGTCCCACAGGTCCTGGGGTGCTCCTGGGAGCACGGCCAGGGATGGCGGGGTGTCCCCACAGCGGGCACTTACGGGCTGGTGGTGTCCGTGTTGTCACCCTGGAGCTGGGCGGCTGCTGGGGATGCGCGTCCTTCGTCCTCTGTGGGACGGGACGCAGTGGGCTGGGTTTGTGTCCCCATCGGGCTGGAATTGTGTCCCCATCGGGGCCACCCCGACTCCCTTTTCCTGTGCCAATGCCCACCTGCTGGCACTGCTCCAGCGTCACCAGTGGCCATGTCCTGCTCCTCGGCCCTGCACAGACGGAGCCGTGGGTCAGCACCACTGACCGGTCCGGCTGGCACAGGGCCCTGGGCCCATCTATCTCTGGGCACTGACCCGTCCTGCCGGCACGCTGCGATCCAGGCGCCCATGGCGCTGCGGAACCGGCTCCAGTCCAGCGCCGTGCCCGCTGCCGCGGGGTCCAGGGCCTGCTGCAGCGCCCGCAGCCGCCCGTCGTGCCCGCTGTGCCCGGTCATGGCCGCCACGTACTCCACCACCCGTTGCGGCTGCACCAGCCCTGTGCGGGTGGACCGAGGGCTCAGGGACCACCACCTCAGCCTGGGGGCAGCCACCTCGGCCCCAGGGGCTGCGGCTACCTGTACGCTCGGGGTCGCAGGCAGCGAAGGTGCAGTCCAGGGCGAACTCGTCCGAGCAACCGCTCTCGGCAGAGGCTGAGGGGGGGACACGCGTTATGGAGGGGCCCGGCGCCTCGCCACCCACCCCGCTCCCCCATGGTGCCCGCACCTGGCAGGGGGATGACGGCGCCCGGGGCGCAGGGAACCTCTGCAGCCATGGTGTTCGGGGTGCTCCGGGGCGGTGTCGGGGGTCCCGGGGGGTCCCGGGAGCGCCGCTGAGGGGTTGAGGGGGAGCCGTTGGGGGGGGGGGGGGGGGGGCCGGGAATCGCCTCACGGCGAGGAGAGGGGCGGGGCCTGGCGCGAGCCCTTCCCGCTCAGAGAGAAAGGGGCGGGGCAGACAGAAAAGGCGTGGTCAGAGGGAAGGGGCGTGGCCCTGCTGCTCCGCGCGCTCCCGGTCCCGTCCCGGTTCCGCTGCTTCCCAACAGCTTTTATTGAAGCACAAAGCCCTCCGTGCTTCCCCCCCGCACCACCCCGGCCCCCTCAGAGCCCCCGCAGCATCTTCTCGTAGCGAGAGTCCAGGTTCCGGAGCAGGAACATCGACAGCATCAGCAGGGAGAGCTGGGAGCAGAGAGCAGGATCAGCCCCCCCCAACCCTCGGACCCCTGACACCCCTCCCGGCCACCCTGAACCCCCTCTGACCCTTCTGGCCACCCTGAATCCCCTAGGACCCTCCCCTGAACCCTCCCTGGCCCCCTCAGCCCACCGCACCTATGGGCCCACAGCCTTCCGAGCACCCCCCGTCCCCCAGCTCAGCCCCCCGCTCCAGGGCATCCCCCCCCCAGCCCTCCGAGCACCCCCAGCCCCAGGGCATCCCCCCTACCTCCCCCAGGCCGATGCCGACGCAAGCCCCCACGATGGTGACCAGGTTTCCGGCCAGCCAGCTCTGGACTCTCTCCTTGCAGCCCTGGGGTGACAGCTGGGGGGTCAACTTGGAGCCCCCCACGGAGCTCCAGGACCCCCCGACTGCCCCGTGCCTCACCGTGGGGAAGGTGTCCTGGGGGGCGGCCGTGGGGCAGCGGCCGTGGGGCAGCACCTCCGGGCTCCCGTGGGTGCTGTTGGGTGCCCTGAGGCAGGAGCAGGCGATGGCTCTGTCCCCGTCCCCATCGTGCTGCTCCCAGTCCTGGGGTCCCTTCCAGCCACAGCAGCCGAGCTGGGGAGGGGGGCAGAGGGTCAGTGGGGTGGCCGTAGGGTGGTCCTGGGCTCCTTTTGTGGGAGGGGGTCTCACCTGCTGCTGGACAGCGTCCCAGCTCTCGTGGGGGTCCCCAGGTGGTCCCTGGGCTGGGTAGCTCCGGATCAGCTCCTCGGCGTAGGTGGCCACCTTGGCAGCCAGCTGGGGACAGGGGTCAGCACAGCCTCGCCCCCGGAGCCCCGGGGTCCCCCCCGACCCTAGGGGTCCCCCCCAGCTGGGACGGGGCCCCTGCACTCACAGCGGCGCGCTGCGTGTAGACGATGATGGCCACGGTGATCTGGGCAGCGAGGAGCAGCAGCAGCAGCCCGAAGTACTTTGGGGACATACGGGGGGGTGGGGGTCAACCGGACCTGCCCCCCAGACCCTCCCCACCCCACAGGGTCCCCCCCTCTCCGCCGCTGTCCCCGGTCGGTGCAGGATGTGGTGGCACCACGTGTCCCTGCGGTCACCCCAGGAAGTTGCAGCACAGCCGCCCCGCACCCTTCCCGGTTCCCCGAACCCCCCCGGGCCCCCCCGAGCCCCCCGACTCACCAGCCCCAGCATGGCCTTGACCTCCTTGAGGGCCCCCAGGCAGCCCAGGAAGCCCAGGAGCATGGTGGCCATGCCGACCCCCGAGAAGCCGTAGGAGCAGAGCCTCAGGCTGAGCAGCGGCGACCCTGGGGACACCGAGGGGGGGTCAGGGACCCTCTGGGGATGCCGCAGCTCTCGGGGTGCCCCCCGATTTGGGGGCGCCTTACCCAGCACGGCGGCGAAGCTCTGCCGGTCGAACAGGACCCAGAAGCTGAAGGCGAGGAGGAGGATGCCCAGGAACTGGGGGGGAGCGCAGGTCAGGACACGGGGGACCCCCAGAGCCCCCCCAGCACTGGGAGGCCCCCCCGGGTCCCCTCAGGTCCCCCCATCTCCCCCCAGCCCCCCAAGTCCCCCCCCCAGCCCCACTAACGAAGAAGAAGAGGTTGAGGAGGAAGAGGAAGCACTTGGTGCAGCCCAGGCAGCTCTTGGGGCTCATGGCTGCGCTTCGGGGGTCGCACCCGCACGGACCCCGAGCCCACGCCGAGCCCGAACCGTCCCCGGGCCCCGGTTCCCCTCCCGCCCCGCCCGGCGCCGCCGCCTCGGGACCCGCGGGAAGCGCCGGGGACGGCGGAAGCGCCGCGGGGGCGTCGCCCCGGGACCCCCACGGACGGCGGGGGCCGTGACCCCGGTGTGACCTCCGGTGTGACCCCAGGTGTGACCCCCGGGGGCGGGGCCGTAACCTCCGGTGTGACGCCCGGGACCGGGCGGTGATCCCGGGGGTCCCGGGGGGCTGCGGGGGCGGGGCCGAAACCGGGAGGGGGCGGGACCGGACAATGAGTGACGGGCAAAAGGGGGGGGCCTATACGGGGGGCGGGACCGAGCAATGAGCGACGGCCCAAAGGGCGGGGCCTCTGCGGGCGGGGACGTGGCCTCACATCAGCCCCGCCCATGTACCGATCGCCGCACCGCTCACGTGAGCCGGCGCCCCGCCCCCGCCGGTGTCACGTGACGGCGGCGGGGCCCACGTGTTCCGGGCGCGATGGCGGCGGCGGCGGCCTCGGCCCAGCGGGGCGGCGGCGGCGGCGGAGGCGGCAGCGATCCCGGGGCCGATCCCGGAGCCGGGGCCGGCGGCGGCGAGCCCGCCCCGCCACCAGGGGGCGGCGGTGAGTGGGGGGAGCGGCGGGACCGGCGGCGGGGCGCGGCCTGTGCGGCCCGGGGCGGTGGCGGCGGCGGCGGCGGCCCGGGTCGGTGGGCGGCCGGTGCTGCCCGGTGAGCGCCCTGCTGTCCGCAGGGGCCTCCTCGGACCAGATCATGCAGACCGGGGCGATCCTGCTGCGGGCGTGAGTAGGGGAGCGGCGGGAGAACGGGCGGGGCCGGGGGGGACAAGGGGCGGCTTGGGGACACGGGTGGGGACTTGGGGACTTGGGACCGGGAGGGGACTGGGGGGGACACGGGGGAACTTTGGGGACACTGGGGGGGACTTGGGACCGGGAGGGGACTGGGAGGGACAAGGGGGGAACTTGTGGGACACAGGAAGGACTTGGGACCGGGAGGGGACTGGGGGGACACAGGGTGAGGGGGGACAAGGAGGGACACAGGAAGGACTTCGGACTGGGAGGAGATTTGGGGGACAAAGGGGGGACTTGGGGGCACAGGGGTATGGGGAGGAATTGGGACTGGGAGGGGACTTTGGGGACACCGGGAGGACACGGGGTGAGTCAGGACTGGGAGGGGACTGGGGCGACACGGGCATTGCGGGGGGACTTTGGGGACACCGGGAGGACACGGGGTGAGTCAGGACTGGGAGGGGACTGGGGCGACACGGGCATTGAGGGGGGACTTTGGGGACACCGGGAGGACACGGGGTGAGTCAGGACTGGGAGGGGACTGGGGCGACACGGGCATTGCGGGGGGACTTTGGGGACACCGGGAGGACACGGGGTGAGTCAGGACTGGGAGGGGACTGGGGCGACACGGGCATTGCGGGGGGACTTTGGGGACACAGGGAGGGAGGGGGACTTGGGACGGGACTCTGGGGACACTGGGGGGACCTTGGGACTGGGAGGGGAATGGGGGGGATCACAGGGGGGACTGGGAGGGAACTTTGTGGGGCACTTGTGGGGATTCTGGGGGGACACAGAGTGCGGGGGCAACTCAAAGCTGGGGGGGCTTGAGAGCATGCTGAGCTGTGGGGACACAGGGAGTGAGGGGGGAATTAGGGGGACACGAGAGGATCCCAGGGGGGCTTGGGGGACATCAGAGGGTCTTGAGAGTGCCCTGGACATGGGGGTGAGCTGTGCTCCAGGTGTGACCCTGGGGGAAAGGTGGGACAGAGGGCTGGGGTCACCCTGAGCACCGGGGGGGGGTCACCCAGGACCCAGGGGGTCCCACAACACCGGGGGGCCTCCCCAGATCCGGGGGTCACCCAGAACACCGGGGGGGGGGGGGGGTCACCCAGAGCACTGGGCGCTCCCCGGATCCAGGGGTCACCCAGAGCACCAGGGGGTCACAGAGAGCACCGGGGGCTCCTCATATCCGGGGGTCACCCAGAGCACCGGGGGCTCCCCATATCCGGGGGTCACCCAGAGCACCGGGCTCCCAGGTTCGTGCGGGACCGCGTGCAACGCTGCGGGGACCCCCAGGCCGTGGCGCTGAGCGAGGCCGAGCTGGGCCAGCCCCAGCCCAGCAGCCCCGACACCAAGCGCCTCAGCGAGTGCCTGCGCCGCATCGGCGACGAGCTGGACAGCAACATGGAGCTGCAGAGGTGGGCGCGCTGCCGCTCCCGGGGCGCAGCTGGGGGGGATCTGGGGGTTGGGGACCCCCCCAGCCCTGCCCCCCAGCCCTGCCCTGCCCTTGGTTTGTGGTGCTTCGAGTGGGGGGGGGGGGGATCCTGCTGTGCCACCCCCAATGTGGGAGTGGCTGGGGGGGGTTGGGGTTTCTGTGTGACCCCCCCAGAGGGGTTGGAGTGTCTCTGTGACCTCCCAGAATAACCTGAGGGGGTAGGGCTGTCTCTGTGACCCCCCCAGGGGGATTGGGGTGTCTCTGTGACCCCCCCAGGGGGTTTTGGGGTGTCTCTGTGATCCCCCCAGGGAGGTCGGGGTGTCTCTGTGACCCCCCCAGAATGACCTGGGGGTTTTGGGGTGTCTCTGTGACCCCCCCAGGGGGATTGGGGTGTCTCTGTGACCCCCCCAGAATGACCTGGGGGTTTTGGGGTGTCTCTGTGACCCCCCCAGGGGGTTTTGGGGTGTCTCTGTGATCCCCCCAGGGAGGTCGGGGTGTCTCTGTGACCCCCCCAGAATGACCTGGGGGTTTTGGGGTGTCTCTGTGACCCCCCCAGGGGGTTTTGGGGTGTCTCTGTGATCCCCCCAGGGAGGTCGGGGTGTCTCTGTGACCCCCCCAGAATGACCTGGGGGTTTTGGGGTGTCTCTGTGACCCCCCCAGGGGGATTGGGGTGTCTCTGTGACCCCCCCAGAATGACCTGGGGGTTTTGGGGTGTCTCTGTGACCCCCCCAGGGGGATTGGGGTGTCTCTGTGACCCCCCCAGAATGACCTGGGGGTTTTGGGGTATCTCTGTGACCCCCTCAGGGGGATTGGGGTGTCTCTGTGACCCTCCCAGAGAGGTCGGAGTGTCTCTGATCCCCCCAGGGGGATTGGGGTGTCTCTGTGGCCCCCCCAGAATGACCTGGGGGTTTTGGGGTGTCTCTATGATCCCCCCAGGGGCTTTTGGGGTGTCTCTGTGACCCTCCCAGAATGAGCTCACCACAATTTACTCCCGGCCCCTGTTGCCCCCTGCCTGCCCGCCGTACCGTGCCGTGCCGTGCCCAGGATGATCGAGCAGGTGGGCTGTGACGCCCCCAAGAAGCTTTTCTTCCGCGTGGCCCGGGAGATGTTCGCCGACGGCACCTTCAACTGGGGCCGCGTGGTCGCCCTCTTCTACTTTGCCTGCAAGCTGGTGCTCAAGGTGGGTGTGGAGCCCCCCAAGGCCTCCCCGGGGCCCCCTGAGCCCCTCTGAGCCCCCTCCCCTCCCCGGCAGGCTCTGTGCACCAAGGTCCCGGAGCTGGTGCAGACCATCCTGCGCTGGACCATGGAGTACCTGCAGGAGCATGTGCTGGCCTGGATCCAGGCCCAGGGCGGATGGGTGAGACCCCAGACCCCCATTCCTCGGGGGGCTGACCCCTAACACCCCCTCCCTTGTACCCCAAATGCCCCATTCCTTGGGCGTCTGTGCCCCTGACCCTTCCCTAACATCCCAAACCCCCCATTCCTTGGGGGGCTGAACCCCTGTTGGGGAATCTCCCTTCCCCAATGTTCCCTTTTACCCCAAATTTGCCCTAAATTTACCCCCAAATTACACCAAATCTACCCCAAATCCTCCCTCTGTCCCCCCTTTCCCAGCTGCCGTGGGCTGCTTGTTCTGGGGGTTCTGGGGGAGGTTTGGGACCCCCAGCTCGGGGTGCTGACCTCACCCCCCGTGTCCCCCCCCAGGAAGGGCTCCTGTCCCACTTCGGGACCCCCACCTGGCAGACCATCACCATCTTCGCCGCAGGCGTGCTCACGGCCTCGCTGACCATCTGGAAGATGTCCTAGACTCTGGGGGGGGGGGGGCCACGGTCTGTGCCCCCTCCTGGGACCCCCGGACTGGCCCTGCCGGCAGGGATGGTGCTGACCCCGGGCCCGGGGGCTTTTTAACCGACACCACTCGCTTACCTGGATCGTGGGGCGGTGGGCGAGCTGGGGGGACCCTCCCCTGCATTCCCCCAGACCCCCCCAGAGGCCACAGCTGGAATTTGGGGGTTTGGGGGGTGGAGACCCCCCCAGCCCTGCCCTGCGTTTGTGGTGCTTCGAGTGGGGGGAGGGGGGGGATCCTGCGGTTCCACCCCCGATGTGGGGGTGGCTGGGGGGGGGGGGTTGGGGTGTCTGTGACCCCCCCAGAATAACCTGGGGGGGTCGGGGTGTCTCTGTGACCTCCCCAGAATGACCTGGGGGGGTCGGGGTGTCTCTGTGACCCCCGCCAGGGTGTGGGGCTGTCTCTGTGACCCCCCCAGAATGACCTGGGGGGGTGGGGGGGGGGTGGGTTGGGTTACAGCCATGGCTGCAGGGTGAGTATTTATTGGGGGTCCCCGCCCCCCAAAAGGGCCCCCCCAGGTGCAATACCCCCCTCCCGGGGCGGGGGCTCTCAGGGTGGGGGGGGCCGCACCCCCGTTTGCACCCCCTCCCCCCCTCCCGGTTTTTGGAGGTCCCCCCGTGCCCCCCCCCCCCCCCGGTGCTCTCGGCGGTGACGTCACAGGGAACCGCCCCTCCCCAAAATGGGGGGCCCCGCCTTTTTGCCCCCCACCCTCCCCCCCCAATACCACCTTTCTCCGTCATGGATTTTTCTTCTCTTTTTTTGTACCTTGGTTTTTGTATCTCGGGAATTTCCATGGAAATTAAAAAAAAAAAGGCGAACGCCGAGCTTCCTGGGTGGGTCCCTCCCACCAAAAAACCTTCGGGGGTCTCGGGGTGCGGATGGGGAGGGGGAGGACAGGACATTCGGGGGGCGGGGGGGGGGGCAGCGCCGCTTTCACTTTCGCTTTTCCCACGTGGCTCGGGGGGGGGGGGCGGATGCGGGGCCGTTTTGGGTGGGGGGGCTCAGGGGCCTGTCCCCCTTTTGTCCAACAGCATCTCGGGGGTTGGGGGTCCTGCCGGATGGGGGAGGGGTGGGGAGGGGTCCTTCACCCCCCCTTCCCCCCAGGGCCATTTGGGGTCCGTGTGTGGTGCGGGGGGGTCCCAGGGTTCACTGAGCGGCCCTGGGGGTGGGGGATTTGGGGTTTTGGGGTGGGGGTCCCACATCTGGACCCTTCCCCACGGGGCCGCGCCCCTGCTGCAGCGCCGCCTTTGGGTCTCGGGGGGCCGAAAGGATTTTGGGGTGAGTTCGGGGCATTTTGGGGGTGGTCCCCCCCGGGTGTAGGGGTGGCTTCGGGGGGCTTTGGGGGTTGGCTTTGGGGGGTGGTCCCCCCCGGGCGTGTGGGGCCGCTGCTCCCCCCTTGGCCTTGGGGCCGAGCCGAGCCCCCCTGGACCTCGGGGGGGGGATGGGGATGGGGCTGCTCCCAGTCCGCCCCAGTCCCGGGGCGGCGGAAACGCGCAGTCAGCGCTGCCAGGTTCCTCTTTCATGGTCCCGGCGCTGAGTCAGCTCCTTCCGCACCCTACAGCCCGCTAAACTCCGGTTAACGGGAGTCACCCGGCACCCCGGACCCGCCGGGACACCCCAAAACCGCCCCCAGCCCCCCAAATCCTCCCCAGCCCCCCCTGTGCCCCCCGACCCGCCGGTGACCTGCGGCTCTGCCCCAGTCCCCCCACTCCGATTAACGGGCAACCGGCACCCCAGGACACCCCAAAACCGCCCCCAGCCCCCCCCCCCCCGCTCCTCACCAGCCCCCCCTGTGCCCCCCAGCTCCTCACCAGCCCCCCTGTGCCCCCCGACCTCGCCCAGTCCCCCCTCTCCTGGTCTCCCCGCTCATGGGGGGCGCACAAAGGTGGGGTGGAACCCCCCCCGACCCCCCCAAATCCTGCCCAGTCATGCTGACTGCGGGGCCGTGTGACAAACGGGGACAAGGGCCAAGGCCACGCGGGTCCTCCCGGGGGCGGGGGGCGCGCCCCCTTCTCTCCGCCTCCGCGGCGGGGAAGGGCCATAAAACCCCCCTGGCGGACGTTGAGCGGCCACAGCCGCGTTCTCGCTTCAACAGTGCTTGAACGGAACCGGCTGCTCGCGGCTCCCTCCGTCCGTCCATCCGTCCCGCCGCTCCCGAGCCGCTCCGTCCGTCCGTCCGCGCCGCCATGGAGTCCCAGGTCCGCCAGAATTACCACCGCGACTGCGAGGCCGCCATCAACCGCATGGCCAACATGGAGCTCTACGCCTCCTACGTCTACCTGTCCATGGTAGGGGGGGCTCGGGACCCCCGGGCCTTGGGGGACCCCCGTGGTGCGCCCCAAAATCCCGCCCCGCCCCGCTGCTGGCAGGGCGGGATCCCAGGAATTTGCAGGGTGGGGAGGGGTCCTGGGGGGCTCCCGCTGACGTCTCCTCCCCCCCCTAGGGCTTCTACTTCGATAGGGACGACGTGGCCCTGTCGCGACTGTCGCGGTACTTCCTGGAGCAGTCGCGGGAGGAGCGGGAGCACGCCGAGGGGCTGCTGCGCTTCCAGAGCAACCGTGGCGGCCGCATCCTGCTGCAGGACATCAAGGTGCGTGTGTCTATGTGTCTGGGGGATCGAGGGGGGCACCTGCCGCACCTGGGCGCCTCCAGGTGACGGCGGTGCCCCGCAGAAGCCGGAGCGGGACACCTGGGGCTCGGCGCTGGAGGCGGTGGAGGCGGCGCTGCAGCTGGAGAAGTCGGTGAATCAGGCGCTGCTGGAGCTGCACGCCCTGGCTGCCGAGAAGGGAGACCCCCACGTGAGTGAGACCCCCGCCCCCTGCTTCGGCCTTCATCATCCCCCCCCCTCCTCCTCAAGGGTTTGAACCACCCCCCCCCCCACCTCAAGGGTCTGACTCTCCCCCGACCCCCCCCAGCTCCCAGTGCTCCCAGTTCCTCCCTTTTCCCACGGGATCACCCCGGGGATCGGGGGTTGGGGGGGATTCTGCGGTTCCACCCCCTGATGTGGGGCTGGGGGGTGTCTGTGACCCTTCCTAGAATGACCTGGGGGGGTTGGGGTGTCTCTGTGACCCCCCCCAGGGGGTCGGGGGTGTCTGTGGCGCCCCCCAGAGTGACCTGGGGGGGTGGAGGGGCACGGTTACAGCCGTGGCCGTACGGTGAGTATTTCCTGGGGGTCCCCATCCCCCAAAAAGGGCCCCCCCCCCAGGTGCAATGCGCTCCTCCTGGGGCGGGGGCTCTGCCCACCCTCCCATTCCCGGGGGAGGTTTTGGGATCTCCTGCTGCCCCGGGGTCCCTCCCCTCGCCCAGACCCTCAGCCCTGCCTGACCCCTGTCCTGTCCTGCAGCTCTGTGACTTCCTGGAGTCACACTACCTGGACGAGCAGGTGAAGGCCATCAAGGCTCTGGGCGACCACGCCACCAACCTGCGGCGCCTCAGCAACGGCGGGGGGGCCCCGAGCGGCCTGGGCGAGTACCTGTTCGACCGCCTGAGCCTGGAGGAGCGCAGCTGAGCCGCCCCCGACAACCCCGAGCCCCCAGACCCTCGTAACCCCCCGCCCCAGCCAAGGGGGCTTCGCCTGCTGGGCTCTCCCAGCATGATTCCCATAAAGGGTCTGTCTCTGCCTCCTCTGCTCCTGTCTCCTCTGGCGTTTTCTCCCTCCCCACAGGGGAGTTGGGGTGCTGGGGTGGGGGTGGCACGGCCCCCTCGGGAATGGGACAAATTTGTGGGAGTTTGGGGTGTTGCTGAGCATGTTCGGACCCTTAGGGAGGTCTGAGGAAAACCAGAAGGGGCTCCTGAACACAGAAGGAGAGCCTTGGACTGGAGTGTCTTGGGACAGGTTTAGAGAACGGATCTGGCCGTGCTAGGCCAGCCAAAGCCACAGGTCCTTGCAGCTTTTGCCGGGGAGAAATCCTGCCCCATCTGCAAATAAAGGAGGCAGAAGGTGATTCGGGGCCAAGGACCCCTGGACACCGACGCTGGATAAGGATGTTTTAGGGCTTTTATCCCTGGGAAGCAAAACTCAGGTTCCTGGGGTCAGTTTGCAGGAGGCGTTCGGCACTGCCAGGGCAAACAGAGTTTTGTTTTGCTGCAGCTTTGGTCTGGAAGAAATGGAGCGCCCCATCTTAAGCCTTGCCTCCTCCCCTCAGGCCTCTTCTGCCGTGTCCCCTCCTTCACCCCTCACCCCTACTCGAGCTTCCAGCCCATCCCACCCCGGCCCCATCCCTCACTGCCCCCACCGCCCCCCCGTGACTCCCTGCAGGAGGGGAGGGGGCTGCAGGGTGACACTGGGGGCTGAGGGGGCTGCAGGGTGTGACTAGGGGCTGTGGGGAGGGGGCTGCAGGGTGACACCAAGGGCTGGGGGGGCTGTGGGGAGGGGGCTGCAGGGTGTCACTGGGGGCTGAGGGGAGGGGGCTGCAGGGTGACACCAGGGGCTGAGGGGGCTGCAGCGTGACACTGGGGGCTGTGGGGAGGGGGCTGCAGGGTGACACCAGGGGCTGGGGCGGCTGTGGGGAGGGGGCTGCAGGGTGTCACCAGGGGCTGTGGGGAGGGGGCTGCAGGGTGACACCAGGGGCTGGAGGGGCTGTGGAGAGGGGGCTGCAGGGTGTCACCATGGGCTGTGGAGAGGGGGCTGCAGGGTGTCACCAGGGGCTGTGGGGAGGGGGCTGCAGGGTGACACTGGGGGCTGTGGGGAGGGGGCTGCAGGGTGACACCAGGGGCTGGGGGGGCTGTGGAGAGGGGGTTGCAGGGTGTCACCAGGGGCTGTGGAGAGGGGGCTGCAGGGTGTCACCAGGGGCTGTGGGGAGGGGGCTGCAGGGTGTCACCAGGGGCTGGGGGGGCTGTGGAGAGGGGGCTGCAGGGTGTCACCAGGGGCTCTGGGGAGGGGGCTGCAGCGTGACACTGGGGGCTGGGGGGCTGCAGGGTGTCACCAGGGGCTGGGGGCTGAGGGGAGGGGGCTGCAGGGTGACATTGGGGGCTGGGGGTCTGCAGGGTGTCAGGGGGGAGCTGAGAGGCAGAAGGGGCATTCAGGAGCAAAGTGGGGGCTCCGGGGGGGCACAGAGATGCAGAGGGGCTGCAGTGGGGAACTTGAGGGTGCCACAAGGAGGCTGAGGGGCAGGGGGTGCCTTGAGGGGCAAACTGGGGGGTGCCCCATGGGGACAGGTGAGCCAGCCCCCACACCACCCCTACCTTAGCCTCGAGGCACTCCGAGGGCAGCCAGAGTTCTTGGTGTCGGCAGCTGCGGGCTGTGAGAAATTGTTCTCTGCAGTTTTGGAGGCTGAATCGCAGTTTCTGCCATGGGCACACAGAGAGGAAAGGCTGTTAATTTCCTTAGAAAGGCAAGTCTGGCAGCCCATGGTTTAAGGGGCAGACAAAGGGCTGTGTAGGGGAAGGAGCTCCTGACAGGACCTTTCTTCACCTCAACACCCACTCCAAGGTCTAGCAGCGCCCCGTGTGACCAGCTGCTTTCAGAGGGTTGCCCGGGCACACCCACACAGGGAGCTGCTAAGCCAGAGGAGCTAACAGGGGGACCCCAAGTGTCCCTCCAGGAACTATGGTTGGAGCATCCAGCACAGACTAGCGAGCAGCCAGACCCACCCGGGCACAGAGCATCACTTTGAGAAAACGCCAAGGGAAGAGCCCTTTTGCCAAGGGGCAGCATCTGAGCAGGCCAGGCAGCATGTGGGGTTCCAGGAGAGGGCTTGCAACTTTCCCCTTTTACTGTGTCAGTCCCTCTCCAAAGCCCTAGACCTTCCAGAGCACTCCCAGAAAGGAGAAGGGTTATTAGGAGAAAAAGGGTTTAGAGAAAAGGGAAAAAGCTTCCTTTTCCATTACTTTTTGTGTTCAAACTGGTAGGGACTCAGATTCCCCTGCAATTTTAATGGTCTCAGTTGAAAGAATCCCTGCCTTTTCTATGCTGTTAGGGGTGTTAATTGCCAGGGAGTCCCCATTTTCTATTATTTGGCAGTTTAAAAAGAAGGGGAAAACCTTGACAGTGTTTCTTATGGGTTTGAATTAAGGGTAGCCACCCCCTTTTTGTTGTCCTGAGGCCAAAATTGAGGGAGAAGCCCAGCTATCCCTCCATCCTAAGGGTTTGAACTGAGGGAAAAATCCTTCTTTTTTTCATCACTGGAGAGATTTACAGTGAGGAAAACCCCTCTTTTCCCAATACTTAAGGAGAATGAATTAAAGGGCAGAAGCTATTTATTTGCCATTGTATTACCTTCAGTAGAGGTAACTGCCCCATTTCCTCTTATTAAGGGGTTCACTGGAAGGAAGCTCTGCCTTTTTCAGCATTTTAAGGGTTTAAAACTACATTTCAGGGCACTTCTTTCTGTGCTGTAGGACCAAGTATCTCAGAGAAGGATGAGCCTGGCATGCATTTAACCCTAACACTGCCTGGGAGGCTTTTATTTTTCTTATTTTTACTTTTAATGTAGATAACCTGAATTAGAGGTCCCAAGGAGAATTAGACTATTCATATCATTAGTATTCTTCTCCACCCAGCTTAGTCACACGTGAAGTACCACTCAGTAGCCACTAAGGAATAATTATGTAAGTTAACAGCAAATTACCCAATTTACCCTGTTATGCTGCCTAAACAGAAACTATTTCTTAGCAGTTTTCTGCCCTTTTACTCCAAGTAGTTGCTGCAAAAAAGAAAGCACTGTAATTTTTCTGAAGAGTTTTCTTCTATAACAAGCCCTCTACTCACCTTGAATTCAAGTCACAGGAACAAAACAGCTGCAGCTGCTCTGAGGGCTTTTATACCCGGTGGGAGTTGCCCCCTCCCTTTTCCCGGGTGCCATGGGAATGAGGGGCGGGCACCATCAGGGGTATATTAACCCCAGCCTTGGCTGAAGGGCTTCATTCCCTCTGTGGGATGTGCTGGGGTAAGAGCTCTCCTCGCATTTCAGTGAAGAGGCTCTTTTATCTTATCTCAGCTTGTTTCCAGCAGGTGTTTTTGGGCATCTAAAGCAACAGAGGCTTAGAAGATACTGTGAAGAAAAGAGCATGGAATACAGGGAGGATTTAAGCTTGAGATTTTGGATTGTGTGTTCTGGAGTGGTAAGGTGCTTTTGTTATTTCTGGTTTGCCTCTTGGGTGTTTTTTTTTTTTTTTTTTGTTTATTCTTTGTTGTTTTTGTTTTGGTTCTTTGGGGCATTTGTTGGGTGGGAGGTTTTTTCTGTATTTTTTGGGTTTTGGTTGTTTGGTTTTTGTTTCGGTTGTGGGGTTTGTTGCTTTTTTTGTGCGGTTTATATATTTTATATATATTTTTGTAAAAGGAGTGTGACTCCCTAAAATTCCAGGTTCTGTCAAGCATAACAAATCTTCTTTCAGTAGACTTGTCATGTCACAACAGGGATCAGCCCAGTATCAAAGATGGTGTTTGAAATTAAGGCTTTCAGGTGAGTTGAGGATTGTGACTGGGAGAGGGAGGGTGAGCAGGTGTCCAGTTAGGAGTAATTTTTGCGGGGGTAAGGAGATTTGAAGGCAGCAGGATGAGAAAGGGTGTTTATTTGTTTATTTGAGGGCCCCCCCACACAAGGCTGTTCAGAAGCCTAGCAGAGGCATTGCCATGTCTTAGAGCACACAAGGTCATCCACTGCACTCACAGGAATGCCATTTAACTTTGCCTTTCTCTAACCCAGGTGCCACTCCTAATAAAGGCCACAGCCTTGGAATCAGGATGAAGCTGGAGCCTGAGGGAGCCAGGCACACTCAGGAGAGGGCAAGTAGCTGCCTTGGTGGGATTTGGCCCACATAACTCTGGACTCACACTTTGGTTTTGGTTTTCTTTATTGCAGCTGACCCAGAGGCTCACAGGCCATCACGGGGCCCTCCGAGGCAGACTCATTTCAGGTGCAACATGGATCCACATCACTGATCATCCAAAAGATAAGTGGGGGGCCACTGCCTGGAGATGGGAGAGTAGTGGGTTGGGAGTTCTTGAGACAGATTTAAAAAATAGCAGCAGGAAAAGTAATCTTCTCCAAGGGCCTGTTAGGACAGCTAAAGGGAGAGGCTCTACTTTTGATGGCAGCTTTCAGGCGGGCAGTGCAGAACAGCTCCGGTCTGTGTCGTGTTGTCCGGTGTGCCGTGTTCCCTGGTGTGTCTTTGGGGTCCCTTTTGCCTTCTCCCCTCGAGGCCCTCACCACAAGCATGATGTGTCGTGTTTCCTGTCCCCCTGTTTGTCACGTTCTGTGTCACGGGTGTCTGCACACATTTGTGCCGGAGCTGTTCTGCCCTGCCGCACGGCCTGCTGCAATAGGACAAGCCTGGGGAGTTGGAATTAGTAATGTGGGCTGTACTTGGGGTCTAGATGCTGTTCCTAGGTTGACATAAGGTGTTTGCAGCTTGTGAGTTATCCTGGTGGTGTTTGACATATGTTCTCACTTTCTTTCAGGTGCAGATGCATTGCATCCATGGCAGGGGGTCAGGGTTAGGAGGTGCCGGGCCTTCTTAGGAGCGCAGTGAGTAGCAGAGTGGTGGGGTTTTGGCCGATGCGGAGCCAAGATCAGGCACTGATGTTTGGTTTTCTCTTTAATACAGCTGTCTGAGAGACACCAGCGCGGTGACAGCAGGACCTTGCCAGCTGACGAGGTGGCCTTTCTTTGCACCTGCCGTGGACCA